TAACACAAAGCAATAAGATTTTTTATATCAGCTAGCAGGGAGTAATTCATGTATCAGAACAACTGTTTAATTTGTTCTAAGTTATCTGCTGCAATGCTTTCCTAAAAACATTAGATTTGCTTTTTTATGATGTGCTAGTACATGAACCCAGGTAAGAAAGAAGTTTGAGACCTCATTTAACATGGGCTTATATTACTTTTCTGGGCATTGAGAAGATCATAAAAACACTGTCAAAACTATAAGTTAAAGTGCATTGACTGAATTGTTAAAATAACAAGACAAAAAAGTTGCAATTTAATTATTCTTGTTAAAACAAATGTTTTATAATTGTTAATATTTTCAAGAGACAGCATCATGCTGTTGCCCAGGCTGCAGTGATGGGGTGCAGTGGCTGTTCACTGGTACCATCATTTCACAGTACCTCCTTGAACTCCTGGGCTTAAGTAATCTTTCTGCCTCAGCCTCTGGAGTAGCTGGGACTACAGTTGTGCATTACTGCACCTGGCTTTTTTCATTTTCTCCCAGTGAAAAATAGTCAAACCCTAGATAAGTTTCTTAATAAGTCAAGCATAGTTGAACTATGTTTCTCCTTACCAACTCTGTAATTGATACTCCTTGTCATTATTGGATTCACTTTGAGATCCCCAGATATAGACTCTCACTATGAGTGAAATCACATGAAGATGTTACCTGGGCCATCCTTGGCTGTCTTCGTGGAAGAAAGAATTTACACAAAAGACCAATTTGTAAATAAAGAAAAGTTTTATTGGGAAAGTACAAATACATTCCAAGAGAGGAGGGGGCTGACCCTGCTGGAAACATCCCCATGACATTCTGCATTGTTATCTTCTATTGCCTCAGTTATTTCTTTGCCCAGTTCTCACCAAAGTTTGGGGGAATCCTCCCTTACTGTGCTTAATGCACATGCATGGGAAGCATTAATCAACATGAATCCTACCTAAATGGTGGCACTGCATATTACCACCACCCTGGGAAGGTATAGCAGTCAATTTTGTACTCGTTGTGCCTGCTTAGCTCTCAGGAATTCGCCTTTGCCTTTTTTCCTTATCATGATCTAGTTAACAACATTCTGACAGTTCGAAGATGGAGTACTGAGCATCCAAAGAGGTGTTCTGGGGGGTTCTTTCCAACATGGATAGCTCCCCCTTGTGCCTGCTCATATCTGACTGTCTACTCCTCTTACATTCTCCCTCAAGTGGTTCGGACCAAGAAATCTTTTGGGAGATGGGGCAGACATCATTCTCTGTAGCTACTTCCTACAGAAAAGGCGCATAGAGGGTCTTCAGGGTCCTTCCTCCTTGCTTGCTGTCATGGTGAGGAGGTTTTGATGATTGTTGTCTCTTAGAAGATTTCACCCGTGCTGTCCAGAGGAGACATATAGGGCCTTGGTTGTCCTGGAGGGATAGAAAGAGGTTGATATCCCCATCACAAGACCATATGAAGTCTGATGGTTTCTAGGTGGGAGAAATAAACTGAGAAGATTCAGAGAGTAAGGTTCAAAAAGGAGAAGGAAGATAGAAGCCAGGGGTCCCAGGAAAGGGAAGAGCTATGAGAATGAAGACCAGGTGACACCCAGCAGAGCCAACTCTTTATATCCCTTTACCAAAGATGAGAGGCCTGGTTTATAAGATCTCTAATGTACTCCTGGACCTGCTCTGATCTGTTGACAGAAAAATACAAGAATTATGTTAGAAATCTGAAAACTAAAGGAAACAGATACTGTAACTAACCTTTGATAAGTAGTTCTACATTCTGATATTTGAAAACAATGAGCTTGACATAGGAATCCTTGTCTTCTCTTGGATTATGTATTCTGTTGAGACCTAAACTGTCATTAAACTTTCCATTGCAAGGTGATTCTAGGACTGGCATCATAGTATATGTGGCCAATAAACATCTGGTCTGTTCCTTCACTAGATGTTTGGTAGTAAAATTTGCTAGAATTTCCTTCTGTAAGACTGTAAAAGATAAATGCTGAGTGTTTATTTTTTTTTCCCAAATGATGTCTAAATAATGTGTGTGCTGTTTAAAAAGTTCACCATGAATGAATGAAATATACCACAAATGATGTGTCCCTTTTCCAAGTCCATCTGCTCTGAGCTCCAGCTGGCTTGGAGCTCCAATCACTCTGAGCTCCATTTTGCTCTGAGCATCATCTGCTCGGAGCTCCATCTTGCTCTAAGCATCACCTTTTCTGAGCTCCATCTTCTCCAACCTCCAGCTTGCTCGGAGCTCCAATCACTCTGAGCACCATCTTGCTCTGAGCATGATCTACTCCTAATTCCAACGGCTCAGAGCAATGTTTGGTGTGCCAATCACTCTGAGCTCAATCTTGCTGTGAGCCTCATCTTTTCTGAGCTCCATCTTACACCGAGCAACATCTGCTGCAAGCTCCATCTTGCTTGGAAGTCCGTCTTGCTTCAAGCTCTATTTATTCCAAGCTCCACCTGCTCCAAGCTCCATCTTGCTCAGAGCTCCAATCACTCCAAGCACTATCTTTCTCTGAACACCATCTGCATAGACATTTATCATACTCGGAGCTTCATCTAGTCAGAGATCCATTTACTCTAAGCTCCATCTTGCTGGGAGTTCTAATCACTCTATGCTCCAACATGCTGGGAGCTCCAGTCACTCCCAGCTCCATTTTGCTCTGAGCACCATCTGGTCGGAGCTCATCTTACTCTGAGCAACATGTGCTCTGAGCTCCACCTTGCTTGGAGCTGTAATCACTATGGGCGCCATTTTGCTCTGAGCTCCAAACCCTAGCAACATCTCCAAACTCCATCTTGCTTAGAGCTCATTTTTGCTCAGAGCTCTATCTACTCCAAGCTGCATCTTGCTCAGAGCTCCAATTGTTCAGAGCAGTGTTCAGAGTGCCAATCACTCTGAGCTGCCTCTTACTCTAAGCACTATCTGCTCTGAGGTCCATCTTACGCCAGCAACATCTGCTCCAAGCTCCATCTTGCTTGGAGCTCCTTGTTGTTCAGAGGTCTATTTGATCTGAGCTCCATCTGGTTTGAAACTCCAATCACTCTGAGCTCCATCTTGCTCTGAGCACCATCTGACTGAAGCTCCATCTGCTCTGAGCTCCAGCTTGCTTAGAGCTCCCATCACTCTGAGCTCCATTTTGCTCTGAGCACCATCTGCTCAGAGTTTCATCTACTTGGAGTTGCATTTGCTTCAAGCTACATCTTTCTCAGAGCTCCAATCACTCCAAACTTCATCTTGCTCTGAGTACCCTCTGCTCAGAGCTCCATCTTCTCGTAGTTTCTCCTTGCTGAGATTTCCAGTCACTTCCAGCTCCATTTTGCTCTAAGCACCATCTGCTCAAAGCTCCAACTTACTACTGTGAGCAGCATGTTCTCTGAGCTCCATTTTGCTCTGAGAACCATCTGCCCTGAGATCCACCTTACACCAAGCAACATCTGCTCCAAGTTCCATTTTGCTTGGAGCTCCTTTTTGTTCAGAGCTCTGTCTGCTCTGAGCTCCATCTTCCTTGGAGCTGTAATCTGAGCTCCATCTAAAACCACGCAATGTCTATTCCAAGCTCCATCTTGCTTAGACCTCCTTCTTGCTCAGACATCCTTCTTGCTCAGAGATCCGTCTTGCTCAGAGTTCCAACTGCTCAGAGCAATGTTCACAGTGTCACTCACTTCAAGCTCCATCTTACTCTGAGCTCCATCTTACATCAGGAAACAACTTCTGCAAGCTCCATCTTACTTGGAGGTACTTCTTGCTCAAAGCTCTCTCTCCTCCTAGCGCCATCTTGCTCAGAGCTCCAATCACTCTGAGCTGTATCTTGCTTTAAGCACCATCTGCACAGAGCTTAATTTTTCTTGGCGTTCTGATCATTCTGAGGTTCATCTTGCTCTGAGCACCATCTACTTGAAGCTCCAGATTGCTGATTACCATCTGCTTGGAAGCAATTTCTGTGAGCTCCATCTGTTCTGAGCTCTAATCACTCTAAGCTCCATCTTGCTGTGAGTACTATATGCTCAGACCTCCATTTTGCTCTGAGCACCATCTATTCTGAGCTTCATCTTGCTCAGAGCTCCATCTACTCTGAGTTCCATCTTGTTCTGGGCATAATGTGCTCGGAGCTGCATCTTGCACTGAGCGCCATCTGCCTGGAGCTCCATCTCACTGTGAACAACGTCTTCTCTGAGCTCCATCTTGCTCTGAGCACCATCTGTTTGGAGCTCCGTCTTGCTAAGAACTCCAATCACTTCAAGCTCCATTTTTCTCTGAGCACCATCTACTCAAGAGTTCCATCTTGCTCTAAGCACCATCTGCTCAGAGCTCCATCTCACTGTTAACATCTTATCTGAGACCCATCTTACTCTGAGTGCCATTTGCTTGGAACTCCTTCTTACTCTGAACAACGTCTGCTCTGAGTTCCATGTTGCTCAAAGCTCCCTCAGCTCCAAGGTCCATCTTGCTTGGAGCTGTAATCACTCTGAGCTCCATCCTGCTGTAAGGACCATCTGCTCTGAGCTCCACCTAAAACCAAGCAACATCTGCACCAAGCTCCATCTTGCTTACAGCTGCTTATTGATCAGAGCTCCGTCTGCTCTGAGCACCATCTTGTTGAGAGCTCCGTCTTGCTCTGCACTCCATCTTACACAGAGGAACATCAGCTCCAAGTTCAATCTTGCATGGAGTTTCTTCTTTTCTGAGCTCAATCTGCTCAGAGCTCCATCTGCTCAGAGCTCCATCTGCTGTGAGCTCCATCTTGCTCTGAGCACCATCTGCTCTGAGCTCCTTTAACTCCAAGCTCCATCTAGCTCTGAGCTCTATCTTACACAGAGGAACTCAGCTCCGGCTCGATCTTGCTTGAAGATCCTTCTTGTCTGAGCTTGATCTGCTCAAAGCTTAACCTGCTCAGAGCTCCACCTGGTCTGAGCTCCATCTTTCTCAGAGTTCCATCTGCTCTGAGCTCTATCTTGCTCTGAGCTCCTATCACTCCAAGCTCCATTTCACTCTGAGAACCATCTGCTCTGAGCTACACCTTGCTCAGAGGTCCAATCACTCTGAGCTCCATCTTGCTCTGAGCTCCATCTGGTCTGAACTCCTTTCACTCCAAGCTCCATCTAGCTCTGGGCTCCATCTTACACAGAGGAACATCAGCTCCAAGTTCCATCTTGCTTGGAGCTCCTTCTTTTCTGAGCTTAATCTGTTCAGAGCTTAACCTGCTGAGAGCTCCGTCTGCTCAGAATTCCATCTTGCTCAGAGCTCCATCTGCTCAGAGCTCCATCTTGCTCAGTGCTCCAATCACTCTGAGCTCCATCTTGCTCTGAGCATCATCTGCTCAGAATGAACCCATATGGATTCATAAGAATTTTGTTCAGCTACGTAAGCAAAACAAAAAATAATAGTGGCTTTATATTTTTCTCACATAAAAGATGTCTGAAGGGAGACAATCCTGGGGTGGGATGGCAGCCCCATGGTCAACGTGTCTCAGACTTTTAGCCTTTTGCTTTGCCATCCTCAATGCTTGATTTCCATGTTATGGTCTAAAGTGGCTGATGGAACTCCAGCAATTAAAACTGCATTCTGGGAAGACAGGAGGGAGGAAGAAGGGAAGGAAGGAGAAATGAAGGGAGGAAGAGAGAAAGGAAAAAAAGAATCCTTTTCTTTTTTAAAAAAAGACTTCCTTAAATGATAGCTTATAGTAATTTATCTCTATCGTTGTCCACAACTTACCTGGCCATACAGGAGACTGGAAAATCTACTATTACACTGTAGGTAGCAATGTGCCTCGAATTAGGTTCAGTCACTAAGATAGAGGGTTGGGATAGGCAGCTAGCAATTTTTCTTTTACTAACATTTCATTATTATTTTTTAAGTTTCAGGGCATGGCTGGTCCCAAAATCTTACAAGCAAAATTAATAATTGACACTGGAGCTTTTTTTTTTTTTTTTTGAAGTATCACTGCAATCTTGAATTCAGCAGGAAACAAGCAAGTAAGTGTGTGAAATAATGATTGCAGCCCCCCAACCTTCCTAGTGTTCCCATGAACAATATTCATTGATTCCAAGATACACATTTAAAACAAAGAAAAAACTGTTCTGAGGCCAAAGAACAGCAAGTGTAGTTTGGTTTGCTGCCACCAAGGGACGAGGGAGCTTGTGCATGGTCATGCACGGTGAACGGCAGGCCCACAGACGAGCTGAGCTCGCTGGAGTTGGGTGTATTCGTGTATTTTCCCTCATCCTTCCCAACATCCCCAAGATAAGTTACATAAAGAAAAAAACACTGAATTTAAAATATTCCACTACAAAATATTACACTGAATCTATGACTTTATACTCTTCAGGCATTACAATTCTTCAAGCAGCCAGTAGAGACAGAAATGTAAAGCTGGAAGGAACTTAAGAGATTGTCCAGGCTGGGTGCCTCCTTTTCCAGAGAAAGAAACTGCGATGGGGAGAGGTAAAATAGCCTGCTCAAGCTCAAGAGAGATACTATACCTTGACTCCCAGGCTCACTCCATTCTAGTGCCTTGGGGGCAGCAGTTGTGTCTGAGGGACCCCTTGGCATTGGAAAACTCCACAGAACAGCCACCTAAGACTTCAGTGATGACCAGTGAAGTCTAGAACAAAAACGTGGAATGAGCATTTTTCCCAGCACCCTTGTGATTAAGGAGAGACACAGGGGTTCTTCAGAGCTGTAGGGCTGCTTTGATGCCCCAGGGTCCATTCCAAGTGGCCCAGCAGGGATGCTAGACAGAGTCACCAGGGCAGGTGTGGCCTGGGCTCCGGAGCAGCTCATGGGCAGTGGAAGCACCAGCAGGATGCTACAGGGAACATCAGAGGGTCTGGGGGAGGCGTTTTCTCCTTCTCCACATCACCAGCCTCTTGGTTCTCCATGAGTTAGTTCTATATTTCTCCAGTGGTGGGAGTGTATAAGAATACAGACACCTGGACTTTCCTCCCAGAAATTCTAAACCAGAAGGTCTGCGTAGGGCCCAGAAATTTGTATTTTTACCATGTGTCCCTGGAGATGCTGAGGCAGCCATCTTGCTACTATCTGAGGACAAGTGATCAGGAAGCTCTGCACCAGGTGACTCACAGAAAGCCCTACCACCATCCTAGTGCTGCTCTTGCCTGGGAAGACTACTCGGTGAAGAACTTGTGATCCATCCTCCTTTGCTATAATTAACAGACCCTGTGATTAGAAGTTCTTCCTCAGCCTCAGGCTCCCCTACCTCCCACTGTCAATGTCTTTTCTTCCCTGGTAATGGGAAGCCAGTCTCCCTGTGCTAACCCTCCACAAACTGGAAGCCTATTACTAAGTCACCTGCCAGCCTCTCTGTCCCAGTTAAATAATCCCCATTCCTCTCACCACTTATCCATGCTTCTATTTTCCAACCCAACAATCATTGCCCCGCTTTTCTCTAAATGCTCTCCAAGTTCTCTCCAGTTCCCCTGCGTTGTCTTTGTTCCTAATTCTTCCCTTGAACAGTTTGTGTCTTTTGAGATTAAAAAGAAATTCCTGCTCCTAAAGGATTTGAAGGCTACTTTGACAAGATTAATTGAAGAAACCTCCCTGCAGCATCACAGCAATCCGGGAAAGAGGGCAGGTTGCATCAGAAAGTCTAAGGAAGGTAGTACAATAAATACTCCATTGTCTGCATGGCAACACACCCCAAAACTTTTCTGGATGCCCACACAGGCAGGAAGGTCTGAGGATCCACCTGCTGGCTCACTGGAAAGCGAGGAAAGACGGCTTAGCTTTCCCTCCATTCACGTGGTAGAGATCAGGGCAGGTCGGGACTACCCAACAGACAGAGGGAGGGGGAGAAAACAGAATCAAATGTGGGAATCAGAGAGCAAAGGGAAGCAGTGTAGGAGATGGGTGGGTCATCACTGACCCCTGCTGACAATGGCATCCATTTAAATCATAAGCAGAAATTCACTTGTGAGATTTTTAAGGACGTCAAAAAGCCTTCTCAAGGGGATATGAAAAATCAGCCAGGCAAGGTGGAAGGAGAAAGAAAGGAAGCGAGACCAAGAGTAGAACACAAAGCAAGACAAAGTTCAGTGGCTGCTGCAGACCTATCTTCTCCAAAGAACAGAAGGAAAGGGAGAAGACGGCAGAGGGAAGAGAGGGCAGTGGAAAAGGCAGAAATTGAGTGAGAATCTGCCTTCCCAGCCTTGGGGGTCCAGAAAATACAGCACATATACACTATGAAATACTATGCAGCCATGAAAAAGAATGAGTTCATGTCTTTTGCAGGGACATGGATGAAGCTGGAAACCATTATTCTCAGCAAACTAACACAGGAACAGAAAACCAAACACTGCATGTTCTCATTTGTAAGTGGGAGTTGCACAATGAGAACACATGGCCACAGGGAGGGGACCATCTCACACTGAGGCCTGTCAGGGGTAGGGGGAAAGGGGAGGGAGAGCATTAGGATAAATACCTAAAGCATGCAGGGCTTAAAACCTAGATGACAGGTTGACACCTGCAACAAACCACCACGGCACATGTATACCTGTGTAAAAAACCTGCATGTTCTGCACATGTACCCCAGAACTTACATGTAAAATTTAAAAAACATTTAAAAAAAGATCAGCCTGGGAAATATGGCAAAACTCTGTCTCTAGGATATATACAAAATAATAATAATAATGAACTGGGAGTGGTAGCACACACCTGTACTTCTACCTACGTGGGAGGCTAAAGTGGGAGGATCATGTGAGCCCAGGTAGTTCAAGGCTGCAGTGAGCCATGATCATGCCACTGCACCCCAGCCTGGAGAAAAGAGTAAGACCCTGTCTTGAGGAAAAACAAAAGATGGAAGAGGAAGGTAGGAGAGTCAGGAGAGAGATTTGAAGATGCTACACTGTTGCCTTTGAAGATGGAAGTGGGGCTATGAGCTAAGGAAAGCAGGCAGCCTCTATAGAAGTTGGACAAAGCAAGGAAACAGATTCTCCCCCAGCATCTCCAAAGGAATGTAGCCCTGACAATATCCTGATTTTATCCTAGTAAGATGCATTTCAAACTCAGACCTCCAGAACTTAAACATAAACTTGTATTATATTAAGTGGTGAAGTGAGTGATAATCGGCTATAGCAACCATAGAAAACTAATATAAAAACTAAGAAGCACAGTTGTTTCCATTACCCACAGTGTAGCTTTCCACAGTTTCAGTTCCCTGAGTACATCCCAAAAATATCAGATGGAAAATTCCAGAAACAAAACATTCAGTTTTTATTTGAATGCCATTCCAAGGAGTGTGATGAAATCTTACACCATCCCAAGTGCCCTGCCTGGGGCCATGCATCTCCCTTTGTATAGCCTAACCACACGGTCTACACTACCATTTCTGTCAGGCACTCAGTAGCTGGCTCAGCTATCAGGCTATTGCACAGTCAACCCTTATGGGGACTCGAGATCAGTCCCAACTACTTGGGAGGAGGACACAAAGATCACCAGGTTTCCTGCTGTGATGCTGGATGTTCAGAAGCAGGCTCACTTTAAGGCGGAATCATCCCTGACGGGGACTCGAGATCAGACACAACTACTTGGGGGGAGAATACAAAGACTGCCAGCTTCTTGCTGTGGTGCTGGTTGTTCAGTGGCAGAATCACTTGAAGGCGGAGTCATCCCTGACAGGAACTTGAGATCAGTCACAAATACTTGGGAGGAGAATTGAGTGACGGGCTCACTTGAAGGCAAAGTGAACCATGACGGGGACTACAGATCTGTGCAATGTACTTGGGAGGAGAACAAAAAGACCGCCAGCGTTCTTGCTGTGGTGCCAGAGGTTCAGGAGCAGACTCACTTGAAGGTGAAATGAACTCTGAGAGGTACTCGAGATCAGTTACAACTACTTGGGAGGAGAACACAAGGACCACCAGCTTTGTTCATGTGGTGCTGCATGTTCAGTGGCAGGCTCACTTGAAGGTGGAGTCAACCCTGACAGGGACTAGAGATCAGTCAAAACTACTTGAGAGGTGAACCCAAAGATTGTCAGCTTTCTTGCTGTGGTAATGGATGTTCAGTGGCAGGCTCACTTGAAGTTGGAGTCAACTCTGATTCGGACTCAATATCAGTCACAACTGCTTGGGAGGAGAACAGAAAGACCTCCAACTTTATTGCTGTAGTGCCAGATGTTCAATGGCAGGCTCACTTGATGGCAAAGTCAACCCTTAAGGGGACTTGAGATCAGTAACACTACTTAAGATGAGAACACAAAGACTGCCAGCTTTCTTGCTGTGGTGTCAGATGTTCATTCAGTGGCAGGCTCACTGGAAAGCAAAGTAAACCCTGATGGGTATTCAAGATCTGTCATTGTACTTGGGAGGAGAACATAAAGACCACCAGCTTTCCTGCTGTGGTGCCAGA